TGTGGGGCGGGCGTGTGTGTGTGTGTGTGTGTGTGTGTGTGTGTGTGTGTGTGTGTGTATGTTTCTAAAACTGTGTATATCTTCTAAAGTGTGATATATATATATATATATATTCAATTATAATTTTCTTAATGGAAATTAGCAAATAGGTACTAACAGCCCATGAGATAGTATTTAGCTGCCTTTCTAAGGCATGTGTTATTGGTTACACTAAAATGAGTTCAAGTACCTTAAGCACATGTGCAAACTTCCCAGCACTGACTTCTGAAAGAAGAAAAACTAGCCCTGCCCATTGGAAACCACTCAGGGCTATGATTAAGACCTGTTGACTTGGGTAAAATAAAAGCTCTTTATGTAACAGACTAATGGGGCAGTAACAAATGACACCATGTGGAGGTTAAAATTACATACCAGAATATTCCAATTGTGTTTGAAAGAAGGCCACCATTGTTTAGGAAAATTAAACTTTTATTTGAAACCTCAGCAGATTAATAATTAAACATTTGGAAGACCATGCACCTAAGTCATGCCAACCTTCCTGCTAACATAAAAGGGTTCATTTGGAAGAAAATGTATTTTTGAAACACCTTCAATTGTTTTGTCAAAAAAGCTGTAGCCAGAATATATGATTTCCTCTGACACAAAAAAATCAGATTTTTGGCATGAATTACAGACAATTTAAAGAAATACAACTGTGGGGTCAGTTTCCAACTCAGTATAAACTATGTTTAAACAATTAGTTTAGGTAACAGAACCATTATGAATTTCTTTTAAAAATAAGTTTGTTTTGAAATGTGGGGGGCTAGGGTAGGGTGGCTCATTATGTAGCTCAGGTTAGCCTCAAACTCACTATGTAGCCCAGGCTGGCCTGTAATGCTCTATTTTGCTTCAGTCTCTTCAGTGCTGGGATCACAGATGTGTACGACCACACACAGCACAAAACCTGCATGAATACTGGACAACTCACCAGAGGCTAAGGTGGCCCGGCCTGCTTTAACCAAGTCCCAATACACTCTTTACCCAAAAAGCTCCCCAAGTAGAGGCACTTATCTGTGTCCCTGAAAAAGGCAGACAAGCCATATCTCAGTAGTCTACAGTGGATTTTTAAAAAACAAAACAGACAGGTAGCTTCTACTGTTATTGGTCAGAAAGCAGGTTACTACATATCTGGAGGGCTGAGATGTTGCTCCGTTGGTGGAGCATTTGGCTAGCATGCACAAGGCCCTGGCTTCCACCCCTAGCACCTCACAGAACTACGTAGACTGGAGTATGCCTATATCTGAGTTCTCAGTAGGTGAGGTCAGAAGTTCAAGCCATCCTTGGCTACAGAGTGAGTTCAAGTTCAGCTTGGGCTACTGGGACCCTGTCTCAAGAAAAAAAAAATGTTCTGAAAGATCCACTAGGGAATCACTATTGAGGGTTATCATGGAAGTCCTGTTACTGGAGCATCGGCTAGCCATCCTCAAGGCAGTAAACGGAGAGCTGTGTGCCGCTCTCCAAACAGCACTGAGAGAAAGCATTAGCTTCCTGCCCTGTCAAGGTTATACCCAGACAAATTCAGTCCTTAGGTGGATCTTCCCTTGCCAGCATAGCCACTACAAAAAGCAGTAAACGGACACTTAAAACAGAATTCAAGATTCTAGGCAACTGTGTGGAGACCAAGTCCTCCTTGAGGTGTGGAGAAATCTGGGTGGCCCAGATTCCTTCCTCTCTTAAACAAGATTGTTTCTCCTCCTCCCACTTGAGGGAAGGTGGACATGTTTACATGGATACATCTGACGTGTTGATACAGCTCTTAGCAGTAAGTCCTTCAAAGTGTCGATCTTTACCTTCAGGTTCTTCAGCAAAGTTCTGATGGTCAGGGTTAGCTGCAAAGAAGAGAGCGTAGCTTGAGTGCACCATCCAGAGGGGCAGCATCTGCTAAGTTAGGAAGGCCTGGGAGACAGGCTCAGGTTGTCAAGTTCTCAGTGGTGTCCTGCCAAGCCACCCACCCGGAGCTTGTACCCACAGTGCACCTGCCCAAGGTAACCTGGTCCACACAGGAACACAGGTATTGAGTGGAAACTGTCACCTTGCATTCAGACCCAGCTGGAATTCTGTCTCCAGAGCTTCCACATACTGCATTTTATCCACCCTGGAGACAAGAGGGAAACTGTGTTCCCTCAGTCCTTGCTCAGCATGGTTCCCTCAACCATGCTCCAGATGACAAGGTGTCCAGTCCCATTACCGTTCTAACTGGTCTCAGAACACTCTGGTGTATTTATAGCCCATGTGAACACAGGAGAATACAAGCTCTTTTTCCATGAGAGGAATGTTAACCATGCATGACTCAGTTCTTCTAGGACTGAGGGAATTGTCTCCAGTCATCCTAAACACCCAGAGGGAACATCTGTCCGTGACTCGTGACTCTGAAGATGAAGAAGAGGTGGGGAGAGCCCCTCTCTGACATTTGGAAATGTGAAGAACAAAAGAACCCATTTAAATGAAAACATATTTGGCCATAGAGGAGATGGGAGAAATATTAAAAAGGCACATTGCCACTGTTTTCCCTGCCGCTTGCTATAAAAGAAGCAGTTGTGTGGGGTATGGTAGGGTACGCCTGTAATCCCAGCACTGGGGAGACAGGAGGATCTCTAGGTAGAGGTCAGCATTGTCTACATAGTGAGTTCAAGGTCAGCCGAGACTACATAGTGAGATCCTGCCTTAACAACACAACAACAGAATAGCATTGTAAAACTCAGGGAGAAGTAGACCTTCCTCTCACAAGCAAGGTCACACATGTCAAGCAACTGTCTTAATGTCAGCAGTCAATAAAAGCTGGCTTTGTTCTAACACCTCTGTAAACCAAAGGAGCCACCCATGGAGCTGAGAGGAAGCCATCCACTTGAATCCAGTAACTCAGGGCCAGCCTGGGCAACAAAGGAAGAACCTCCCCTCCCCAAACTCTACCAAAAATACACCACACACATAACACACACAAGTGCACACACACAGAGAAAAATAAAATAGAAATAAATGTAGTTATTATATTTTTTTAAATTTTAAATCAAGTCATAAAATGAAATGTCACCCAAAAAGAGAATAGCCTTGAAACTAACTTACTGTAATGCCAAAGGTGACCATTTCTTGGTATTAAGATTTCAAATTCTATAAGAATATAATCTTTATCAGGGTTACACAGAGAAACCCTATCTCAAGAAACAAAAAACAAAAAATAAAATAAAACACAAAAGAAGAAAGAAAATAATCTTTGATAATGAAGAAAATAGTTCTTTTGTTATAAACAGAAACTTCCAGAACAATGAAAGAAAATGCAAGACCTAATTCATTCCTAACACAACCCCAGACAGACCCAAAAAAAAAAAAAAAAAAAAAAAAAAAAAACAGATAAAAAGCCCAAACACCAATCCCACTCAAGGACAACAAGAACTCTTAATCATCAGCAGACTTAGGATTGAATTAAAAGGACAAGGCGCTACCATGATGTAGAATGTATACTTGCAAATTAAGAATGGTAGTGCTAGACAGCCTAAAAAGGAAGCTTACAGTGTTAATGATTAAAAAATAGAACAAACACATGATTAATAATACAGTGTGAGGAAATTAAAAATGAAATGGAAAGAAAAACTAAGAATAGACACTACTGCCTATTTCACTGTGATCTAGATGTTCTTACTAAAGGAACACTAAGGAAATATGGAAGGGCCCAAGGGAGATTGAAGTATTATTTGTGGACAAAGAATAATCCATTTGGGAAAGTTAAAGAGACTCAACTTAGGGCTGGGAGATGACTTAATTAGCAGAGTGCTTGCCATGAAAGCTTGAAAACCTGAGTTTGAATCCCAAGCATCCATGTAAAAGGTTAGGTGTGCTGGTAATCCCAGCACTGGGGTGTGGGAATAGGAAGATCTATGGCGCTTGCTACTCATCTAATTTACATAAATTGGTAAATTCCAGGTTCAGTGAGAAATCCTGTGTCAAAAAAAAAAAAAAAGTAAACGAATTCAGAACAGTGATCAAGTTAGGCATAGTGGCTCACACCTACTATACCAGCATTTCGGGAGGTACAGGCAGAGTATAAGGAGCCCAGGGCCAGCCTGAACTACAATAGGAATTCCAGACTACCCTGGGTGTCATGAGATCCTGTGAATTAAGTAAATGAAATTTTAAAAAAACAAAAATAGCAATAATACCAACAAAATCTAAAAAGAAATATGTAGTTTGGTTCCTGGCACACAATAACTATGCTGTATATATGCTGGAAAAGTGAATAAAAAGGAAGTACTAAATATTATTGAAATAGTCAAGCTGGGCGTTGGTGGCACACACCTTTAATCCTAGCACTAGGGAGGCAGAGGCAGGTGGATCTCTGTGAGTTCAAGGCCAGCCTGGTCTACAGAGCAAACTCCAGTACAGTCATGGCTGTTAAACAGAGAAACCCTGTCTTGAAGAACAGCCTACCACCCCCCCCCCCCCCCCCCCACCACCGAACCCCCACCACCCACATCCCTCCT